TTTCTGCCTGGGTTTAAGGGAGTGTTAATGGGAGGAAGGGGTCCCAGATAAGCATGTCCAGCAGGATGCAGAATAGAGAAAAATGAAGCTCAGATTTGGGATCCAGGAAATGGGCTGAAATACCTTTTGTGAAGCCCAGGCTCTGTGTGTGTGTGTGTGTGTGTGTGTGTGTGTGTGTGTGTGTGTGTGTGTGTGTGTGTGTGCGCCACAAGCAAGACCATGCAGGGGATAGTCTGGGGGCCATCCAGAGAAGCAGGGTCCCCAGAACTGCTAGTAGTGCCTCCCACTTCCAAAGTGGAAACTAGCCTAAGCTCCACAGAGCAGTTAGTGGTCTTTGCTGCAGAGATCCCAGCACACAACAGGGCAACTTTAGGTCTCCATTGGCCTTGCATAGACCCTTCTCAGAGCTCTGGGACCACATCTGGCTGCTTGTTTGAGAGAAATCAGGACTCTGGAACAGACCCAGAGGACGACAACAAACCTGACTGCAGAGCGGGAGAATGGGGCTCAAGAGGCATGTGAAAGAAATTGGGGTTGATTTGCCTAACAGTAAGGGTGGGGTAGGAACTGAAGTCAGGCATGGAATAAGAGGCCTATCCAGTTTTTGTCTAGTTTCAAGAGCAGGGAATAAGAAGCAGCCGTTCCAATTGGCCACCAGATAGATCAGGTAAGGAAGGACTTTCATCACAGGTATGAAGCTTGGCCTTCCCTGCAGTAAAGGAGATCCTGCCTCTTGGGAGGAAACCTGCTGGAGATCAGACATGGAAACCCTGAGTTATTCCCAAAGTACTTTCAAGTTTTCCTTAGTCCCAATAAACTCCAGCCCCCCTAGCCTTCAGGGAGCCCATGTTACCTTTTGAGGAACATATGAACTCATATTCAGTGCTCAAGAACAAGGGAGATACCCTTGGAGGAGATCCAGTCAGAAGTCCTGGAAGCTAGAAACAAATACAGGCATGGATATTTGCATCAGGGAATGAGTACTTTTTATTGTGGTGTAACAGGTTACTTACCTACCCCACCCCCCCACACGCACACACCAAAGAATTTGATGGTTCAAAACAAAGCTCATTATCTCACGGGCATCCTGTGTGTCAGGAATTTGAAGGCAGCTTAGCTGAGGCTCTACTTAGGGTCTTTTCCTAAGGTTGCAGTCAAATGCTATTCTGAGCCACTGTCACCTGAAAGCATGGTAGAGACTGGACGAGCCACTGATGGAATAACTCATCCACACCAACCACACTCAGATCTTGGTTCCTGACCACAGTCTTCCTCCATGGTGCTGCTTGAGTGTCTGCGAGATGGGTCTGGATTCCCTTAGGCTGAGTCAAGACAGACTCAAGACTCACACACTTCGGCAGAGCATGTCACCAAGGCCAAAGGGGCTGCTTGGCTCACCCTGAATAAAGGAATGAGTATCAAAACATTTGGATCATTCTTGTGAACCCATCTCCTTTTGTGGATAGGTATCGTTTGCCTTTCTACTGATTTTTTTTTGGGAGAGTGGGAGACTCAAGGCTTTCTCAGCAACTGACATCCGTTCCACTAGGTGACTCTGTGTAAGGAATTCCAACTGGCAGGTGACACATAAATACAGATGGTGTGCCCTTTCCTTCTGAGCATCCATAAGTGTCCCTCCACCCTCTATTGAATCTGTATGGTAATGGACTTGGTGGTGGGAGGTGGCGGTGAGGGGTGGTGGTGGTGGAGAGTTGCATCTGCCTGGAAGAGACTCCCTGGGGACAGGATTCTGTGGGGGTAAAGGCATCTGAGACAAGAAGCATAGGAAAATGAATGGTGTTTGCTACAGGCTGAGAGGAGCAGGAATTTCAGTCTAAGAGATGGAATTAATAAGATTTCCAAGAATCTCAATCCGGGGCCATTGTGTTTGTTTACTTTTGCAGCAAGCCTTGGGAACTGTGCTGGGAGAGAGAAAAGCTGTTTTGTGAGCTGTCTCAAGTTCCATCAATAGGTCAAGCTGCCCACACTGGAGAGCCTGCCTGTAAAATCTCAGTCGAGGAAAGCTTGCCTCCGTGTTTCCTCTCCCGGTACTCAATGGGAATTGAGCTAAATGCAAGCTTGGGTAAGAACTAAGTGCCCCCTGTTCATTGTGAATGCCCAGGCTGTTAGACAAAAATAGCACACAGGAAACAGTATTGCAAAGGTCAATTCTTCTAGAAAGGAAGGGACAACACGCCATCTATCTGAAATTTTAATGAGCAGATCCTGGCCTCTGACCCCACACCATTACCTAACAATCCAGTATTGAATGCCATGTCGGCCTCCATTTCCTGTGAATGAGGAGGCAGAATTCCCATCCGAAGGCAGACCATCTGCCGGACGCCAGCCTCGCTCTCTGCCTAGCTGGCTGCGGCTGATGTACGTGTAGTTTTTATGGATGGAGTGGCAGCCAGGCCCACGCTTCACAGCCATGGTGAATCAAAAGGCTGGGAAGGCAGGACTTGTGGCTAGAATTTTCTATTTCCTTTTCTACAGTGGCTGTTGGGTTTCATTCAGTCAGACACCAAAGATAGTCTTGGGGCACATTTGGCCTTTTGAAGGCAGCTTTGCAACTTCTACACTTAAAAGAATAAGCTTATTATTACTCTTTCTTACAGTAAAGAGCAACTGCAGAGTACTAAACAGCGAAAAGAAATGAATATTGAGTGCACAAAGCCCCCCAGCACACATGAATAAACCATTTCTGTGATCAGTGGTTTGGGCTAACAGCTGCGTCCATCCTAAAGCCATTATGTCAAAGGAAATAATTCCCAAGCCCTTTGCTTGGTGTTTCTGATCTTCTAGAGAACAGCAGTCTTGGAATTACATAAACCGATCCTTCTGGATCTGTCTCAGCAGAACCCCAAAGTAAAAGGCCAAGGAACAGATATCTTTCCTAAGCACCCTGGGGAGCAGTTGGGTGGGAAGTCTTTGCATCAGATCCTCAGTGCTCAATACCTCCTAAGAGGTGTTACTTAGCCTACAGTAAGAGGGAAGGTTGGAACTCAGGGTCAAAGATATAGGTTGCACCTAAGACAGGTTTGAGGCTGGGTTCTTCACTGTGTGGTCGTGGGAAGGCCACTTGGTGCTTTGGTGTGCTGTGGTTTCCTCATCTGTACATTAAAGTGATATGATGTAGGTGCCACCCTCTATCACAGATCATGTGAAGACCATATGTCATACATAATAATGTAGTAATCTAATTATCGTTTAGGTTATCGTGCACACACTGCCCAATCATGATGGTTCACTGGATTATACTCTTAAGATTGAAAAGTCAGCTAGGCGTGGTAGTGCACACCTGTAGCCCAAGCACTTGGAAGACAGAGGTAGCAGATCCTGGTGATCTATATAGTGTGGTCTATATAGTGAGTTCCAGGACAGCCATGGGGCTATATAAAGAGACATTCTCAATAGAACGAAAAGACAGAAAAGCCTTTGGAGGTAACAGGCATTTCCCTATGGCTTGATTTCCTAAGTCTCTAAAGTAACATTGTTCATTCTGATTAAATGAGTGAACAAGGGCATACATACAAAGCTGGCTAGGAGCAAGGCTGATTTCAAACGGTCCCTGTTCCCCGGGCCGTGTTTCCAACTTGAGTACGAAGCCTCTCACTCTTTAAGGTCCTGTGTTCTATGGTGAAGTGAGAGAACGCTGCGGACCACTGCTGGCGGGAGGCAGCTGGTGAGTAATGCTACTTTCCAGGGAGATGGTAAGGAACCCAGCCTTCTCCAACCCCGTTCCTGTCATACTGGGAACCTGTTCCAGAACAAGAGAGGTTGTAGGATCAGAACAGAATCTCTATGGCTGGCTTGAGTCTCAGCTCTTACTGGAGCTTTGAAAATGGCCAGGTTCTGAGTTCGCTGGCCTGGACAATTCTAAGAAGTCTCCATGTTAGGAACCAGAGCGGCCATCGTTCTCCATACATCTTGCTGCTTCTGTTGCCTGGCCCCTGCTGCTTCTCACATAGTTCTCAGGAGGAAAACTGCGAGGCAGAAAGGGGAAGGGGGAGGCACAGCTATAGCCTGACCTGAGGTGAGACCCTCCAACCCTTTGTTGGAACTTGCCTAGCTGTGCTGTGGAGGAGCAGCTCATTCTGAAGACATAAAGGGATGCCTGGCAATTGGCATTTTTCTCACCCCTGACCAGCCTTGCCCATCATCTTTTCTCTCCCTCCCTCCCTCCCTCCCTCCCTCCCTCCCTCCCTCCCTCCCTCCCTCTCTCTCTCTCTCTCTCTCTCTCTCTCTCTCTCTCTCTCTCTCTCTCTGGGCAGAATCTCACTTTGTAGCTCAGGCTGACCCAGAACTCACGGTGTAGCCCCTTGTTAGCCTCAAACTTGCAGTAACCCTCCTGCCTCAGGCCCCCAACTGTTAAGATTAAGGGAGCAAATCATTAAGCGTGGTTGGAATCAGCATGTCTAACCAGCCCCATAAGATCAGTGAAGTTGGAAAGTATCTGGACCTTTTCCTGGGTCTAGACGACAGAAAGGAAACTTCAGTCAATCTATCAGCGTCAAAAACAGCATTGCATCTAAAGCGCCTTGCCTAAGTGCCCGGTGCTGTAAATTCAATCTTATTCCTCAGATGAGAGGTGCGGGTTTGGGGCCTTGGGAGGCGGCAGTCAGAGCCTGCCTGGCTGTACACCATATCCCAGACCTGTTCCTCGCGTCCCGCCGGTTCCCGGCTAGCCAGCAGCTAGCAGCCCAGTCATCCTTTCCAGCCTCAGTCTGGAAAGCTGGACCCCGCCGCCGCGTGTGCTCTTGGCTGCCGGCGCCCGGGCCCCACGGCCACATCATCCTGAGGCTGGGAAGTGTGAGTTCCCGCGCCGTCGTCGCCACGGAACCCAGTCTACGCGGGCGGCCCGCACTCAGTGTCCCGGGGGCATCCTGCATCCAGCCGCCCCCGGGAGTGGGCGGGACCCGGGCGGGCGGGGACCCCGGAGCGGTCTCTAGGACCCGCGGGACGCCGCAGGCGGGCGGGGTGCGGGGGAGACGCTAATTTGTTCCGTGGTAATGAGAACGGCGACTGCTGGCCGCGGATCCATTGCACAGGCCCGCCCTCAGATCGCTGGTCCCCGGCGCCAACTCGGACAGGCTGCTCATTTATTGCAACGGTCAAGGGCCGCTCGTGCCAGAGTAGCGCGCGCGCGCACGCACACACACGGGGAGGGGAGAAAGTTTTTTTTTGAAAAATGAAAGGCTAGACTCTCTGCTCTGCGGCCGGGGCGCTGCGCGAGGGGGTCGCGGCAGACTCAGGGCAGTAGGACGTCCCGCGGCTCTGCGCCCGCGTGGGATGCTGCAGCGCTGGCTGCTGGGCCCCCGAAGCAGCTGCACGCCAGGCCGGCGACAATGGCAGAGCGCCCGCCGCGGCGCGCGCCCCCTGCCCGCGCCCTCCTGCTGGCCCTGGCCGGGGCCCTGCTGGCGCCCCATGCGGCCCGAGGTAAGTCACCCGTGCAGGCGGCTGCCCGCGCGTCCCTTCCCCGCCACCTCGAGCCAATCTGGGGGTCTCCGCGTGCCACAGCCGCGGGGAGAGGAGACGCACCGGGGCGCATCTGCGGAACCCCCGGGCTCGCGCTCCCTGCGTCTCGACACCCGTCCCCTGCCAGGTGCCCACTCTGGGGGTTGGGGATGTGTGTGTGTGTGGAGAAGACACTTGGCTCTGGGCCTTGAAGCAACTAATGTCTGGACGAAAAGGCACAGCTTCCCCTCTTGGAGTGACATTTGCTCCTAAGGCTCTCTCAGTGTCTTGACAGTTACACGTGTCGCCTTAGAGGGTGCGCGTGGGGTCGTTTTACTAATCCGGTGGGTTAGCAAGTTCCTCCACCCAGCTTCGGAGTCAACCCCCCACGAGGTTTCTTTTCCACCACCGCCTTGACATAACTGGGGTACGCACGATGGCCACGCAGATGCCCACCCCGCCCCCCCCCCACACACAGGTGTACCTGCAGCGCTCTTTACTTTTATGTTTTAATTGACTTCCTTGCCTATGTCGTCGCTTACCGATCTCCCGCTGCACTCCCTAATTGTCAGTAGTGATCAAACTTTAACGGAACACTTTTCCCATCTCACTCATGGTTGGTGATAAATAATCGCTTACATCAAGACCTCGTGTAGAGCGAGAACCCACTTCGGAGTTAAACGAAAGTGCATACATTAAAGGCGTTTTCACAGACTTGTATTTCCCTGAGTTGAATCTTCTTAAAGCCTGGGCACCTGTGGATTCTGTTTGCATAATGAGAACTCACAGCAGGTGCCTTTTTAAAATTCGGGAGCTTCCCTGGCCACCATCGCTGCTGGCTCCCTTCTGCCGCTAGGGGCGCTGTTCACCAATGAATAATTCTCCTTGGCCTCCGACTCTGTGATTCTATGTAACAGGCATTTAGTTTTCAGCAACTAGTCCCTCCACCGTTCAGAATTTCCAACACGAAACGTTTTATTTCTCAGTTGTCACCGTTAACTCTCCACCCCATCATATCTGTCATAATGTGACCAAATCCTAGCTCCCATAAATATCTACACAGCAATATAGACCAACCTGTCAAATTGGTGATTAAATTAAAAGATTGCACACATCAAGGTAGTATCTGTGAGAAAGGCAACAACACTGAAGACTGTTTAGAGAACTCTCTGGGACCTGTGGATGAAAACGCAGTCAAAGGTGTTTTTGGAAGAGTTTTGTACAAACTGAATCCTTTGAAGGTTTTATAGCAAATGTACTTTAGAAACATGTAAACTAAGTTTCAAAGTATGCCTGAGGTGGTCCTGAACTTGGCACATGCCTCACACACATAAACAGAAGTCCGAGCACAGCTGATATTTTTTAGAGACAAATGTTTATTAAATAAAGCTAATAGTTGGGGAATTATTGGGGGGGGGGGGCGGTATTTATTACTTCATGGCTGCAGTTTTGGTAGACAGAGCCCTGCCTTGGGATAAAGACAGCTTCAGCAAGGCATTCAGGCCAACACACATTTAGTGGCTTAAGTATTGTGGTTTAATATTCCAAGTTCAGGGCATGTTTACACTTAGAGTCTCAGGATCAAATCTCAGTCCCTGCCCCAAATCGTGTCACTGAAGATGTTTAAAATGCAAACACACGAAGCATTTATTCATGTTGGCAGAAGAGAGGAATCATTACTTGTTGAGGGCTGAGCATATCCTGAGTTTGACCGTAGCCGCCTGCATTACCCCAAGCCCCAGCACAGCTCAGCCCAAACATGTCCAAAACAGAGTTCTGGGTCCCAAGCCCTCCACTCCCCGCAATATTCTTCACTACAACAGTGCTATCTGCTGCCTTCTCCCGATGCCTCATGCTGACATCTCCCCTGAGTCTCCCGTCATAACATAAGCCACCAACTGCGAGGGGTGTGTTCCCATCTCCGAATCTCCTTCCCCTTTAGTGCACCTTTCCATCCAGGCTGCCCTCATCACCCCATCCCTCTCAAGATGCTTACTTGCATCACAGCAGCTCTTGGGTTGTAGGCTTGATGTTCCTCCTTGTCCTCACCTGGGGTGTTCTCTCCAACACTGTCGCAAATCGTAGTCCAGTCCATCCTGAGTCAGACCACGTGAGTTTCCTCTCCTTGGTGACTTCTTTCCTTGAACCTTCATGTTACTTGTGTGGTTCGTGTATGTGTATGAGGAGTTTATGGGGGGGGGGGGGGGGTACATGTAGAGGACAGAAGCCAGTCTTCAGTGTCAGTCCTCAGGTACCACACACTTTTTTTTTTTTAAACCACTCAGGTACCACAGTGTCTCTCACTGGCTGGAATGCATCAAGTAGGGGTGACTGGTTGACCAGTAAGCCCTAGGGATCTACCCATCACTGCCTCTTAGCCATGGGATTGCAAGTGTGCACCATCAAGCCAGACTTTTGGTGTAAATTTGGGGAATTGAACTCAGGTCCTCATGGTTGCACAGCAAACAATTTCCCAATTGAGCTATCTCCCCCCAGCCCCCATGAACTGGTTATTCTTTAGAAACATGATTCAGCAATTGCTCCAGGGCTATCCTTAACTAAGAGCCTGGGAAGTTCTCTCACATCCTTCCCATATTGCCTCACTTCTCTTTTCTGTGCACATAACTTTTTCTCCCTTCCTTAAAAAAAAAAATGTGATGTACATGTTCCAGAAACTTCTGAGGGAAGAGTATTTGGGTGTTACACATTTTGAAAAAAGTTTTATGTGTATGGATATTTTGCTTGCATGTATGTCTGCTCTGTGTGTGTGCTTTGTGTGGTGTCTGCAGAGGCTATAAGAGGGCACCAGATCCCCTAGAACTGGATTCTACTGATGTTTGTGAGCTGCAGTGTAGGTGCTAGGAACTGAAACCTGAGTCCTCTGGAAAGAGGAGCAGCCAGTGCTCTTAACTGCCTGAGCCCATCTCTCCATCAAGATAGTTCTTTGATAACTGTGAATGTATGAAGGCTGCTTTTAGTTGCAAATAACAGAAACCCATGATTTCGGGGTGTTTTTTTTTTTTAACAGAGAGAGCCACTAGGAAGTGTGAACAGTACAGGCGTGATTTTACAGGTGTTGCAGGCCAGGGCTACAATCAGGGAGACTGCACATTCTTTGTATCTGCTGTTCTTAGATGTTACTGCTGTACTTAAACTTACTGTCCTTTTGGTCTCATCCTGGCTGCATTACCTGCATTGTTCTCATACCTGCATTCTAGGCAGCAACAGAGAAAAAGAGGCAAAGGGGGAAAGACTACAATACCCCCCTTTTTTCAGGAAAATAGTATTTTGATAAGCCTTTTAGCAGATTCACAGACCTCAGTGGCAGTTTTATGACCCAGGGACGTTGCCAGTTGCACAGAACTCTGGAAGGCAAGGATATGTGTAGTTGTGCACACTGGCACTTCTTAAAAGCCAGAGTTCTACTAGAAAGCTTGTGCCTGCTGTACCCTTCATAAACGTCATAAACACACACACACACACACACACACACACACACACACACACACACACACACGTGTGTGTGTGTGTGTGTGTGTGTGTGTGTGTTGTGTGTGTTTACACGTATAAAATTATTGCCATACTTGACATATAAACATTTTCTTCCTTCCACTGATATTTGGCTCTACTTGGCTTCTATTCCTTTCTTGTGGAAACAAATTTTATTTTTAAAAGAGAAATGAGGCTAAATAATCTAAAGAAGCTGAGCACATTTCTTTCCCATAGAAATGTGCGCTCTCTCTCTCTCTCTCTCCTCTCTCTCTCTCTCCCTCTCCTCTCTCTCTCCTCACACACACACACACAACACACACACACACACACACACAACATGCATATATATTTGTGTGTATATGAATATGATACAGTATATATTATGTATATGTGTGTATGCATGTATCTATATAGACATGCAAGGGTATGGCCAACATTCCAGGCTTTTTTCTTTGTGTGTGTTCTCCATTCCATCCTCGATTGCTGATTTGGTAAGAAGTCATATGTCCTCGGTATTCAATAAGGAATTTCTTTTTTGTCTCTATGCCCACACTCCTGCTTGAGAACATGAGAAGTTAATAGCATGCTCATTGTTCATATTTTAAATATATTTCTTTTCCTATCTTTTCTTTCTAACTATAATTTTTACATTTTGTGTAGCATGTTTTAGTGATTTTTTTTTTTTTTTGATTCCTGTTAGCTCTGAAGACACCATTGGTTGGTAGACACTCTGTTCACCTCAGGGTCACTGTGAATTTTGAGATTCTTCTCTTCCCCCTTTGGAAGAATCTCTGACTTTCTCCAAACATCTGATTTTGGGTTCACTCTTGCCATTTAGTAACGGAGTTCTGAACTGATTGGAAGTTCCATGTGCTTCCACAAATGGGTTTATCCATGGGGAAGGAGGCTACATTTTATTGGGAGACCTCCATATAGCATTGGTTCTGGTATAAGTGTTGTTTTCCCTTTGGGCTTACCAATTTCTTGGTTTTTTTTTGTTTTGTTTTGTTTTTAAATCCCCCTATCTCCTGCTGGAGGTTTTAGCCCTGGCTCCAAGGCTTTGGAGTGCAGCAGGACAGGGTTGAAGAGGATGCCATGTTGTCATGTCACCTTTGTTTCTATTTAATGTTTCTGTCTTTAATTCAGTACTTTGTGGCCTCTCCTCTCTAGGGTCTGGCTGAGGTGGGCATGGGAGTGCTCTTGAGCTCAGAAGTTCTTGTGCTGCTGTGTCTCCCCGATGCATCCTTGTGTCCTGGGGACTGGGGAGGCAGGCAGCTACCATGCCAGCTTTCAAGCCAACTTAGAGCTTCGAATTCTCATTTTCCAGGCCCATGAGAGGTGCACAGGCCCCCTTCCAGGGCTTTGCATGTCCTTCTTGCCTCTAATGGCTTTCCTATTCTCTAGGGAGGTTGGTGCTTGCTCCGACTCCCCCTCTCCCTCTTCCCCCCCACCCGCCCCTTCCTTTCCCTCTGGAGTGGTTCTAATGATGT